ATATATATATATACATTTGAATGCTTATATGCTACAAAAGCACATATACACACATATGCGCATTTATACAGTGCTAATTCATTGCAGTCGAAGTAAAATCTAAACAGAGAAAAAGACATAAGAGTATATGCGAGAGAGACGCGCGAAAAGAAACGAAACAAATACTAACTTTATGCGTCGTTGTTCCTATAAAAATGCTGTATTTATTTTAAAATAGCACACATATAAAAAGATATGTACGAATACGTGCATACATTTGCAGACGTAAAGGTATATTGCCACAGCCGTATCAGATTCTGAGGTGACCAAATGATCATAAAATAAAACGAATGTCGTTCTTTTAATTGATCTGTTCAAAAAAAGAAGTTTTGCAACTCAACAAGAGAGTGTTAATTTCTATTTTGTTAATTTTTACTTGCCACGCTTCAAACTATGTGACTTTTAATTAAGTATTTGTCTTTTTCCGAATTAATGAATTAATTTTTAAAAACAAAAAAATGGCTATAGTTTTGAAATATGATTACGATGGATCACATTATTTCTATGGACTTGAAAAAAAAAAGGTGAGCCAAATCTAGTCGATTAGATAAGGGAATATTTCTCTTTAGAAGCCTTTTGCGACTTTAGTATAAAAATATTAAGTCATTTTTTGTTATGAGCGTGTGCGAGAGTGATATAAAAGCGTCATTACTTACGATTAGAAAAACGTAATTAATATTGTAAATATTTGAAATATCTTAACGTGAGTCAAAAAGAGGAGGATTCTCACATTTTTCTGTGACCAGAAAATTTCCCCTCAAAACGCGCTACCTTTGTACGTTTTCCTGGAACCACATTTTATATTGAGGTTTGTATACGAAAACAATGGAAAAGTTTTATGAATACATGGCCCCAAAGTTATATTAGAAATGTCAAGTGTTCGTAAGGCTTTCAAGATTTCAATCGTTATGCCCTTCAATAATCAGAAAATCCTATATCCAATAATCTACTTTAATTTACATATTATATAAAAATATGCAAATTGCCTCACATGCTTATCTAATGAGATGACAATTATCTTATCTCTTCGGTTCGATGCTTTTTTCTTTAAATATATATATACAAGCGGAAAAAATGTTATGATTAATTAATAATAATGCTTATATAGTTTTAAATTCATCCATCATTTCATTTCAAAACCTAAATCGTTTAGGGAGAAATAAACGATATCTGATTATATAAGTAAATAAAGTAACAAACGGCTGGTCACTCTAAACTCAGTACAACACTTTTTATGCATATAATCTCTCGTGTAAAGCTTATTGCTTGCTGCTGATATATGTATATGCAGATGTGTGCGTGCACGGCACGGTATATCGTGTCTCTATACTCTATATATCATGTCATGAATGTAAGAGCAACGTTCGTGTGTACGTATGCTTGTACATTAAATTGGTATTTTTTTTTATTATTTATTTTTTTTTATACCCCAATCGTCTAAAAATACCAGCAACAACATATTAACCACTTCTTACTACGAAAAATAAAATGCTACTGACTAACAACTGAATGACTGCGATATGAGCGTTTATACAAGTATTAGTTTGTCTTCGTGTTTGCCGTTTCTGTACATTTCTGTTGTCGCCTAAGTTATCATTTTTGTGTTTTTGTTTTCTCTTCTTTTTTATACGAAATTCGTGTGCGTTTCACTGGTGACACTCTCTCTTTTATTATGGAACGGATTCGATGGCTGTATAGACGAAAATAACACACATGCATTTGTTTGCATATTATACAAGTTTTGTTGCTATTCTTTTAACGCGCTAGATACATATATATATATATATATATATTCATAAATATAATATATTTGTGTATACACAAATGCATATATATATATATATATATATATATACTTTTGAAATATACATATATATATTTATTAAATATATATAAATATATATAGATATTCATATAAAACATTACCACCAGCTTGTTACTGTTGTACTGTTACTTACCGGTTGTTTTGAATGCTGACGATGATATTTTCGTTGTGAATGACGTGCATGTCTGTTCTTGATAATATCGATATAACTATCTGCTGTGCTTATTGTTTGTTAGCACTAGTAGTAGTGAGCTGATGATGAGAGATAGTCAGGAATGTTTTCATTTGGTTTTTTGACCGCTGTTTTGTGTTTTTACATACAAACCCATACACAATATGTACAAATATAAATAAGTAATAGGACTTTTGTGCATTTATATACGAACACATACTTTATTGATTTACATTCATAGCATTACCATCTTATCGCGGTTAATAATTGAGAATATAACTAATTGTTACGCGTGTTTTTAAAGTACAAAGCAAACTTACTTTACATGCAAATTTTTGCGATACAAAATCAGTATTTAATCGTTGATTCAAAAGCAGTTTCGTGAAGAACAGGAAGAACAAAGTTATGGACTCACTCCATTTGGAACGAGCTGTCCAACAATCGCGTTTAAGCTGTATATGAAATTTTCATTGTTCCCATTCTACATATCGCACGATATCATCCTACTTGTCGAATATCGTATCTAGCCGTGTATAAAGTAATTTTTTATTTATGGTATTTTTCTAATAATAACAGATAGACAATCTATATACGATTCAATTTACTCGATCTTTGGTGATTCTATTAAGAGAAAATTGCTACGAACGGCGTTATTTAAAAGTTTTCAGTTTTAAAATCCAAGTAAAAGCTTTATGCTCTAATGGGGTATGTTTTTATGTGGCGGCAGGGGCAGTACTTAAAATTCTCGTATTCGCGATTTAACGAGATGGACAGATGGACGCGCGTATGCATAGAATATGCTTAAATTGTTATCACCAATTTCATCGCCGTTGAAAATATATATACAGTGACTTTCATTAATATTGCGTTTTTTCGCTCGAGAAAAAGTGAACGCTTGTTAAACCATGCACCTAGGGAATACCTATTAAAATATAAAAATAAAACGACCAAAAAAAAAAAAAAAAAACTAAAATTAATTAACTACAACAAATCAAAACAAATAGCGTCATTAATATTGGGTTTTTTTTTCATATAAGGAAGGATACGAAGATAAAAAACATCATATAATTAAACATTCAAATTCTACCAAGATAACGATCTTAAGCGTAAATCTCACTTAATTGCTCCAAAGTTCTTCACTTTCTTCTGGAATGAATTGGACCGCCATGTACGAAAACACACAATCCAATCCCTTCCGTTCAACGTCTGAAAAACTGACTACAAGAGGGATGGAGTGTGAGGTACCTGTTTTTTCCTATACAAGAAAATTTATGCAAAACATGTCAAAACGTTTAAATGACGCTATTAAACAGAAAAGGATACTCCAACTAATAATTTTTAACAGTATGGTGCTTTTTATCTTCGCATCTTATCCGTCCTTATACGAAGAAAAGTGAGTTGTTGAAGTTATTTAATTTTCTTGTTTACTGGAATAATGTTTTCTTTGTTTTTTTTTTCTTTCTTTTTTTTATATTATATATATATATATGTATTATGTATATATATATATATATATATGTATTATGTATTCCCTAGTAGAATAATTAGTAAAAAAAAATTTTATGTTTGGACAATCGTTAGGTTTAACGAGCGTTTACTTTTTGTTAAGCGAAGCAATCCAATATTAATGAGAGTCAATGTATGGGTTGTAACAAAATTTACCAAACATGCAATCCTTTAAGCTGCACAATACTTGCTTTTACTGCTCTGTACTCCTTTATAAAAATCTATTCCTTGGATCTTTTTTGTATTTTGCTTTATCAGTGCAATTCAGTTGGAGAATAAAAGGAGGAGAGAAAGATGGTGAAAAAGAAAGAGAGGAAGGGAGAGAGCAAATTTAAAAACTTAAACTAAATAATTAGGCCATGGGAAATATATTTACCGCTTTGCTTTTGCAGACTATAAGTTATAAGCAGGTATATGTACATAATTTAGATAACGTTGAGCTTCACATAGGTATAATTCTACCGATAGATATGCGAAATGGCTGAGAAATATCGTCAGGATAGATATTTATTCATCTCTTATATTGTTACGGAAAATGCGACGTTGCAGGTGCGTTAAACAAAGGTTAAGTAAACATAGTCCTTGGGGTCAAACATAAAATTTTTTGAGCTTTGCAGTAAGGACGAAAGAGTAACGCGTAGGGGCTGAGACATTTTGGCACCACGTGCACCTGAACATCTTCTTCTTCTTCTTCTTGCTTGTATCGTGCATGTTTCAGAACTCCGAATTGTGGTCATATTCATTGTCTTCTTCTCTTGTAAGGAAATAAAAAAAATTCTAGAATTATTATCTTTAAAGCAGTACGCTCTCTAAAGCATAACATACACACACACACACACACACACACACATACACGCATGCATACATATACACACACACGCACACGCACGCACACGCCTATACTCATGCGCACATACACAATACATACATAATTATTTGTAAATACTCACGTCGTTTCTCTTGTGCTTACAGGTGTCAAATGTAGACATTTATACGTTATGTATTCAATTTTATATACTAAATAAAGAAGGAAAAAATTTCCGAAAAAACATTACAACAATATTATATATATATGTATACTTAGAGGTAGGAATATGTAAGAATATACTAATACATTATCATACAGGTATTCGGTGTGTGCGCGTATATTTGCGCGTATGTACGTACGTATATATGTACGTACGTATGTATGAATGTGTAGTGTGTAGTTACGTCTGCATGCATGGATGTAGGTATATATGTATGTATGTAAGTTAGCATAATCTAAAATCCAATTTCAGTTACTATAGAAATACAATACCATGGTAAACAACAACAGCAACAACAATAACAATAAACATAATGAAAACTTGACAAACACGGATACAAATTCAAGCAAGCAATCGCTTGTTAACAAACATAGCTAATAGATATAAGCTCATCTACGCAAGCGCTCATAGATACGCACAAACACACGCGATCACGTACGCGTTAATCATACATGTTTAATATGTTAGTATACAAGTAAGCGAACATGCATAACATAAAGTGTAGCTTATATTGCATTAGCGTCGTGCATTCGATGTGACGGTGTGCTGATGCTGATGTGTATTGTTGTTGGCCTTTACAAAAGATCCCAGAAGGTGAATAATGTGCATGAAAATGAGTAAAATTCAAGTAAAAAGAATACGCATAAAATTATATTCAGCTCAGACCGAATTTTTTGCTATCTACCTGTCAAGGATATTTTTTAGCTTTTTCTTTTGTAGTTAAGTGAACGGATGAACTACATCGCACAGCTAGAACGTATAGGTCAATATTGCGGCAGATAAGCTTAGATTATAATATGAAGGAACACCTTGTAAAACTATCCGATTTTTGCTGTTCATTGGGCACAGACTTTTAAGCCGTTTAGCATAATTTGATGCGCTTTTTCAATAAAGTTCTCTTTAATTGATGTTACTCTCTGATTACATCAATAAGGATTGGGAGTGGGCGAAGCGTAGTGGGTGCATGCTCAATCGGTAAGTATTATGCCTATATCGACCAAGCACTCACTACTGTTACGATCAAATGTAAAGCTACCGCGTTGGGGACACCAACTTGGTACTTGCATATCTTATCCACTCCTATCCGGACTATCCGGGCAGCCGGCTTATTTTATTATTCAAATTCGGGTCACTGCAACCTGCTTGTTTATTTTAGTTAGGGTATAATTAATTCAATAGGCGAACATTTGTAAGTTTTGTGAAAATGTTTCCGCGAGATTAACGCACACAGAAATGCAAGGACTAAATGGGATACTGATTTCTAGAAATCTTGACCAATTTTATGATATCAGTTTGTGACGTATTTTCGGACAAGCTCCGGGGTTAAGCGTTTTTTGAAAAGCAGGATCTTTCTCTTTCAACGTTAAATAATGCCTTTGTTACAATGATGCGCAGATGGGTTTGGGGCCTTGAAATCACTGATAACAGATGTTTTGATGGATATAACTGATAGGAATAATGGTATAGGTTCTAAGAAAAGTGTGCTCTTTTCACTTTTAAGAGTAATCATCGTTCGATTATTAAGAACAGAATGAGGTTTTAGAAAATTTTTTTATTAATTTTTGGGCCGTCTTGCGAATTTTGAAAAAGTGGTTCACCCCTTTTTCTATTTTTTTTTTTTTTTTTTTTGTATTTTTATCCATGAAAAGATTTTTCCTAGACAAGAGCATTAATTGGAGGACTGTAACAAATCAATCTGCCAAGTCAAGTACACCTTCTTTTTTTTTTTTTTGCTTAAATAAATAAAGAAAAACTTGCCAACGTATAAGCGCATACAATACATATTGACTGGATTGTTGCTCACATGAAATAAGACTTAAATTATCAGAGTAGACATCGCATAAACTGGCATACACGGCACAATATTATATTGTATACACATAATAAGTGCATACTAGGTATGTATAGTATGGGGCATACGAAATGCACAAATATTGTTAACTGAAGCATTATTTTTATATATCCAAAGCAGAAAATGAAATTTTGTTTTATATTACATACCTATAAAGGTGTTGAAAAATGTTGTCAATAAGCGTAAGGAATACGCTATCTGGAAGGCGGCAGCAGCTATTGTTTCTTAAAAGTATGGACCCCTTTTCGAAGATCTACTTTGTTGTTTATGTCTTCAATGGTAGACAATATATACATACATACATTTGGATGTGTAACGCGTTAGGTAAGCTAGCTGGCAGGGCAAGTCAGGCTTTTGTTAATATTTAAATTAATGTAAAGTTACATGGAAGCAACAGGTTGGATCATAGACAACATTTTAAGAAGATATTTCGTGATTTTGCGACGCAGTCACAGTTAGTTGACACAGAAAGGGTTCTCTATATTTTTCATTTACGAAATTTAAGAAACACAAGCCTTGAAAGTCATTCATGGTATTAACGTGTAAGGGTAACCACACATATTACTGTACTTGTTTTTAATTCTTTTTTTTTTTTTTTGCTTTGCAATTATGGAAATAAGGGAAGTGAAAAGGAGTATGCACGCCATCCAAGAAATGGAATGCGAGATTATTACAGAAATATATATGTCAGAATGGAAGAGCACTGGCAAGTGGAGACAAAGTATTGAAAGTACGCATAAAAATGCGTACATGCGTACATTCTTCATCTTTCTGCCTGGAGTTGATCTTAAAAAGCCAAGTTCATATGACTGAATTTTCATGTACTGCACGCGCGTACTGTGCTCTCTTTGGTGTACAGGACAGTAAAACGAGCAATTTATTATATTATTCTTTAATTGTATTTCGCTAAAATATTCATACAAAACTTTGAAATGGAGCAATCCGCAGGTATATAATTTATTATATATTAAAAATTATTGAACAACTGATACAATTCTCACAATCTTAGCATGACGCACTATTACTTTTTACAGACGGCATGAGTTGTGTTTAAATTCATCTAAGTACAATTAAAATCTTCTCATTTCCTCTATTGAATTTTGAATAAAGGCATGAAGCTACTAAGGCGAAGCCTTGTTTCGAATATCGTTTCGAAATCAATTCATCCCGAATGCGTAGCGTCTACTTGTTTCGTTTTCCCATCTATGCTTTGATAGAATGAATATTATTTGGTCCGTAATCTTTAAATCTTTTCATTTACACCGGTAACCGTAGACGACTACGTATATGATAGAAGGATATATTAAAACGAATTTGTTGATTCCGATTACTAACCGAGAAAACTAATTATAGGTGTGCCCATGAGTCTATCTGGTATATTTCTATACGGAAGCTTTTGATGATTCTGTTATTTACTGGTGTCAATTGCTAGCTCATTATCTACTACCTTTTTTTTGCCTATTTCAAGTACTTTTGATTGAAGTCCGGTTATTAAAATAAGGTTTGTGTGTTCTTGGTCAATTTTGCAACCTTTTGAGATTTTCAAACGCAAACAAACTTTATATAGGCAGACGGACATATGGACAGGGCGAAAACGAATCGACCTAATGACAGTTATACCCATTTTATCATTTGCATGACTATTTGGAGTATATAACATATGCTAGAGGTGGAGCGGCGGTTACGTTTTACATAGAGAAGTAAGACTTAAGTCCATTTTTTGATATCGATCAGTATCCTATAAAAGATTTTAAACTAGATTTAGAATCGAATTGAAGAAGTTGTTAATTTTGGACTCAACATTTAGATACGCTTACACCGAAAACAAGTAGAATACCCACACACAACCTAAGGAATTCAATATCGATCGCGATGTGCGTAAAAAAAATCGGCGTTTCGGCTGCCGCATTAATTGTTGATGAAAAATTTTGATTGAACGAATTTCTATTCGCGAACCCCAATCAATCTCGACTTTTTAAATAAAGGGCTTAAACCAAAAGAAGAAGAAAAAGAAACTTTTTCGTAAAAGTTGTCCGGATAGTTTTTTTTTAATGCACTAATATATGAAATAAAATTCTGGATTTTACTGCCGTTCACGATAACGCACAAGTATGTCGCAATTTCGTTTCAAGCAATCTCGAGATTAATCGCGAGATTAATGAATAATGAAGATATTAAGCTTTCCGCGCGAGCTGTGCTAGAGGCCTTGATATTCATTATTGTTATGAACGAACAAATTAAAATTCATATATTAATTGCAGTTATTCAATTCTCGTATTCTTCCTACACATCGTTATTTTAGTTTGAATAAAGAAAAAGTTTTGCTTCCTTATGATACTAACATCAAAACGACGTCAGATGTCACAAGTTACAAGGCAGTCACGAAGCTCTTTTTTTTTTGTTTTGTCTTGGTAACTTAACGTAACTTTGCTTGAAAAATTTTATAGTGACTATATTGCTTTGGTATAAAAAATTTAATAAGAAAAAAGTCGCAAGAACTATGATGATAAGAAAGCATAGGTCTTACGACTAGTGACTGGCCATAAGATCAGAATATGGTTATGACTATGGTATTGAACGCATGTATAATAATGTGGAACAAATCTCGCGGATATCGCTCATGGTCTCTTCGCTCCCCATATATCAGAGTTAAAGTGGAAATCAAAGTTTGCATTTTAAGAAAAAGTGCATTATGGTCCGTGATATATGGACCGATAAATTTAATGATGAGCTGGAGGTGTTAAATTTTCACAGAAGTTAAAGGTGCGTGCCGATAGCAAGGATCATTTACCACCTATAGCGTCTAAGCCTAGCCAAGTCCTAGTTCCATGGACATTTGTTGTTCGTAAGACCTTAGTCGGCGAATTTGATGAACGCGTTACATTTGGCTGGTGTAAGCTGAGAGTAAAAATGTTTTACGGAAATTGTGACTACTAAGGTGTTGTTGTTAATGATCAAAACTAGTTTTTAATCGAATCATGGTAGTATTTGAAATCGAACATAGTCTCAAAATTTTCATCAACCAAATACTTTGAAGTATTTACGGCGGATGAGGTTTAAGCTTGATTTTTGCTATTAGTTTACTTAAAACATGGGCCAATAGATCGCGGGACTTATGCGTTGGTATCGTCTTCTCTAACGACGTCGCCGACTTCTTCGTTGCCGTCGTCTGATAATGTTTTTGGATGGATAGTGTCAAAGCCTCAATCTTAGTTGCAGCTTTTATTGATCGATGTATTATTTTGCTGCGGGCTCCAATGTCGAAAGCTTGCTAAGTTTACATATAATGCAATTTATAATTGTAATGCACGCACCATTCTCTAATGCACACTCGAACATTCAACAAGCATTTCGTCGCGCATATGTATTCAAATATATGTATGCACGCAAACTATTTATATATATTTTTGAGTTAAATAGTGAACATTAAAAATGTATGAGATTTTTATTTTCAAAATCGACTATAAATAGATTAGCACGCATACAAACGCGCAAAATTACATTCATGTTATGTGTGTAATTAATAAATGAAGACTTGTTTTTTTAGTGATTCAAAAGTTTTCAATTTTAGATTGAAAACACCTGTCTTTTGTTTTCCATTCTATGTAGCACTAATTCATTTCGTACTTCACGCATACATACGTTTACACAGTATGAAATATAAAATGACACTTGTTGCCTGCGTCGGCGACGCGACAATAACAACAATAATAACATGGTATCACATGACGAACACAGACCCTGAATAAAAAGTTTGTTCACAACAGTAATTATTCTCACCAACACAAGCACATATTATTTATGTAAATATATACATATATATATATATGTATATATATATATATATATATAACTACAAATGTTATATACATATTTGTATTTCGACAATATGCACACACATATATATATATATATATATATATACTGTTGTTTTTTATATATTCAAGACCATAATTCTCTTCTGTATGTGTGTGTGTGTATTTTATATGTCATATTCCATTTACTACAAGTATGTGTCATTTATTAGTCAGTTGATCTCTTTAATAGGCGATAATCAAGTTTTTTTCGTTTCGTTTCGTTTTCTTTTTTTATTTTTTTTTTTTATTTTTATTTATTTTTTTTTTTATTATAACGCTAGAATGAATAATACTTGTACAGCTGTTTTGTGTGTTTACGAATGCGCCCGCCATAGCGGTGTGTGTGTATATGCAGCATAAGTAAGTAAATATAAGTGAGTATGTATTCATTTTGTAAGCATATGCATCCCAGCACGCAATATATACGTTCTATACTTCAAAGCACTTGTTTTATAGTTTTGAATAGAATAACTTCCCAATGTGTTTGTTATTCGCTCGAGCATGCACACATGTTTATTAAACCGAGATAGAGGTAAAGATCATTCCCGCTCAACTTAGTGATCTTCGCTTATTACTGATATATTTCGAACAAACGTATAACATACAATATCTGTACACAAATATGGATGTGTAACAGAGAATGTACGCAATTATTTTCTAGTTTTTATTTATTTTTTTTTATTTTTAAAGAAGTCAACTCAACTTAGTATTTTTATTGCTCGTTGGCTATTTCATGTTAAGTAAGAAAAAAATTTGTAACGTTTATATTCATCAAATGTAAATGGATTTTTTTTTTATTTTTTTTTTTTTTAATGTTTTTAAGCTAAACAAATGTCATTTTGATAGAATTTTTGCAATTTTTCTGTTAAAATTATTGTTCCATCACTAGAGACTTACTGGGGGGAGATTTCTGTAGGAAAATAAGTCACGTTTTCACATCACTCCTTTGGAAAAAAATCAGCTTTACACCATTAAGAAAGTTTCGTAGAGAACGACAAAAATGATAGCCGTTAGTGAAAAAGCGCGGATTCTCGTAATTGTTACCGACATGTGTGTGATATGACATCACCAAGGTGGGGAAGGTGACGAAATTTTGGGCGCTTCACGTTAATGACGCGGTGAAATTGTAGGGCGTGGAAATCAATTATCTAATCAGGCTGGAGCTGGTCGTGACATAAAAGTCTCATCCAATCCCACCAACCGCAAAGCATTTATCCTATGCGATACTAATCCCCGGTCTCTGTCACCATTTGTTAAGCCTCAGTTCTTTCGGATCACGGTCTTTTTCGCATGTTATTGTTGCATGTGGATCGCCTATTATGGCCGGTACTTAAACTGCATAAAAATGGTTTTGTTTCATTTCATTTCATTGACGGACGTCCTTTTAGTTTTGCACTGTTATATAACTTGATACCCGAATATTGAGCTTCTTGTTCTCTACTCAGCCTTCTATTAAAATGGTTTACAAATCATTTTTAGTAGTTCACTATTTGGTTTCGCAATCATGTCATAAGACAAATTGTGTCAGTCCCCAGTCAAGGCTTTCAAAAATTTCGTTAACTCTATCAACAATTGGACCAGTTGTAGCTCGGCCCACTACTGCTTTGTTGATGATTCAAGCATAAGCATGTATAGTACGAATATTTTCTGCCTACGAAGGTGCAAATTCTTCGCTACGGTATGTTTGCATAATATAAGTCCAGTTCCGCGTGCTCTTTTCAAAATAACAAGCTTTTGCAGAGCAAGCTGCTTATGATAACAAGCTCGATAACTTCGATAGTTTATGAAGAAAATAGCTAAAGAATAGTAACCACTCAAGTTGGACTATGACAAATGAATTGGGTTCCCTTTCAAATAAAAATTTCCTCTGAAAAGTAAACATTTACAGGATAACGAATCATGAGTTTTGGCATTAGACGAAGATATAAGAGCATTAAATAATGCTTGAATCGAATGCCATCTTTCAAACGCTTGAAAGCTTCTTAGGACGGAAATTAGAAGAATCTAAAGGTTTTTACCGCTGCGAACTCTTTTTTTCTTGCCCATCATTTCATTTGTTCGAGATGTGTTTTCTTTTTATTAGAGAGCTTCGTCGAAAACAATCACCTCTTTGCCGAGTAGTAGCCACAGGTAGTAAAATATTGTAATGGCTTCGTTTCTACAACGATCCTTTTGTCTATCTACCAGGAAATGTTTCCATCGTAGGATTCGTAGATTTTAAGATGGATTTGTTTGTCTAGCACATCTGGTGTTCATAGGGAAATTTCCACAATTTTTTCCCTGAATTCTTAGAACATTCTCGTAAATATCGCAACTATTTTAATATTTGATTCCTTTCAACGAGATCGAGAACGCCAGAGAATGTCGTGACAACAACAATGACACATCATATGCATTTCCCGTCAAGAATATCCTGAAGCGGTTGGACGAGAAAGTTGTTGTCCCACGTCATCCTTTTTACGTATTTTTTATTCTGATTACCATTAGTTTCGATCGATCCAGAGCGATTAATGCTGCGTCCCAACTTTTGCCGCCTAATGTTTATTTTACAGTCCGCCCCATGCCATTTTAAATTTATGCAGATATATTATTATTATATTATATCATATCCACAAGGTCTTGAGATAGATGTCAAGTCTCTCATTAACATCATTTTCTAGGTCCGATCGGATCTTTCCGATTTGTGCTCAACATACAATTTTTTTGGGTGCAAGGAAAAACCGTAGTGGATTAGATCGCATCGTTTTTACGACTACTTTACATACAACGTTCCATTTAGAAGTTTGACATTTTAGTATGAATTTGGATGAGATTCGTCATTTTTTGAATGTCCTCCCATATTAACGCAAAAATAAGCATTCGTCGTGTGCTAATAAGATTCATTATAATTTTTAATATTTTACTATGAAAATCGATCGAGAATTGTGATTTGTGATAATTTTTTGTACTACATAAGTATATTTTTCGGAAAAGTGCACTTTCATATGTCAGCCATATCTAATTTTTCGTATTTTATAACAAAAACATGTATAAAATAATATATCCCTTTGACAAGGGAACTTAAGCGCTGTAAATATCGTTTATGATTCACGTATGTTAGAGACTTAGATCTCTATTTTTCATCAAGTTTATAAGACTTCATGAAATTCTCAATTTAGATAGGCAGGCAAAGACACATTCATGCATTTAATGAGCGATCTCGCTTGATTATAGCGTCAAAAAAAACGCGATTAGCATTTACGAACGCTTTGTATGGAACATACTTCTTTTTCTTATAAGAAGAAAAAGTAAGGTAAATTAGTGAGAAATATGAGAAACTTCAGAATTTGGCTGTCTGTGACCTTTAACAGAGAACGTGTCATATGATGATGCGGAACAGTAAACTGAGTTACTGCCAAAAATGTGTAGTTTTTGTTGTTCATTACGAATTTTAGGAGCATTATTTGGATATGATGCTTAAGCATAACTGTATATGCTACCGTTGTTGTAATATCTGTTTTTTCATTTATTTATTTATTTTTTTTGCACAATCTTAAGGAAAAAAATAACGAATTTTCCTTTTAAAATATGACAGTAATAGAGTAAATCGAATGCAACGGAAGTTAGAATGCATTTGTTAAACAGTCTTTTTGTTCTTTTGAATCTCTCCAATGCCAATATATATATGGATTATTTATTTTCTTTTTTAATGTTATAAAAATTAAAAAAAAAATTCATTATCTTTTTCTTTGTTTTTTCATAATCGTTAGCTTGAATTAAAGCGACCTAAAAGTGGTATATATATTAATGAAACGGAACCGCCTAATGCGCTACCTAGTGATGAAATACCATATAGCACTTACAATCCACGTGTACTTCAGGAGCAATTCGATGCTCAGAATTTGAAACGTATAGATTTAATAGACGGTCCACAGGCTGATCTTTGGACGTGGAATCTCGGCATACAGGAGAAAGAAGAAGTGCTCGATAAAACGTTTATAGATGCAGCCATTGCAAAATTTGGTAAAACCGAATCATAAGTAATTTGAGAAAACTTCATGTGCGCCATCTTTTGTCCTCCCTTCTTCTCCCCAGATTGTAGTAACGCTGAACTGGTGGTATTCAAAATACCTACCGATTTGGATAAAACCTTTTCAGCTGGTATAGTATTCGGAAATAAGGCAATAAAATCGGCTGAATCCCCACTCAAACCCGAGTAAGTAAAATCTTTGCTACTATAAGCTTTTTATTGACTGTACGCGTAAGAAACGTAATAGCTCAGTGGGTGGCGTCTCAGATACTAAAGACACACACTTTGAAGGGTTTCCGATTCAATTCCAGAGTTTGGCTCAAAGATTTTTTGATATGTTACGAAATTTCAGCAAAGTGTAGATGCAAGGCGTTATTTAGTTATTTAGTCAATATTGTTCTCTTTTTCTATTCTTAAAGTCAGCCTGAACGCACAGTGGCCAGCGACAGTAACGAATCGTTTGTATTTTAAGTTATCCGTATCCAAACTTCATTAACTATTTTCGTTACACACTCGTATGCCACCTCTTTTCCATATATAAAACGTTCCCTTTCAATAGTTTGTGAGACGTCTGCCTTTGGAGGAATTATGTTCGTACTTTCGGCTTGATGTGAAAGGAAAATTTTATTAAAACAATATATTAAAGACAATTTTTAAAAAATATTTTTTGTGTTTAATATCGCTCGCTAGATTTTACTATAGACCGAAAGAGATGGCTTGCTTGTACGTTGCTTTTGTGGAAGCTTTTCGTTTGAATGCAGACTTTTGGAACGCTGAAACCATGGACCTTATTATTGATATGGGCGAAAAGCTTGTGGAGAAAAGTAAAAAAATGTTTTACAAATCGGCGGATCTTCCGTTCGATATAATACCAGAGATAACTGAACGCGATGCTTTAATCAGCTTAAAAATACATTTCACGGGACCGTTGAAAAGTCAACCCAACATCTATAAGGCCTTGTCATTATACTTTTCAAAATATAATGCTGGCATATTGTGTTCAAAAAAACTGTACCTATTAATTTGGAAACGTTGCAAAAATTTTTATTACATCTATGATCCGAACGGGCGCACAGAAAATTGTGAACGGGATTTCGAAAATGGCAAGTGTGCCTTAATGTCGACACACTTTATAGAGCATTTAGTGCATTTGATTGTCAATATTAGTCAGACAAACATGGATGATGAATTCAGTTTGTACGGCATTATATTGGAGAATTATGGCAAGATTTCTGATCCGCTCCCAGCGACACCGTTCAAAAAGCTTACCCGTAAGCAATGGGCTACGATAAATGAAGCGTACGCTTTAATACCTAGCTGTAATTATGGTCTTACGCAACCCAACATAATGCCGGAACCTAATCCTTCCATGCTCATTGCCGTCATGGCTCTCTTATACAATTACATTGAACGACCGAACACCTGGGATACAAATTCTGTCGATCAAATAATCCGTATAGGCACCGCATACTATAAAAGTTTACGTCGTTCTATGAAAATGAAGGAAAAGGATCATGTTAATATATTGGATGTACCGGATAAATATGTTTTGGGTCAATATAAAGCTTCCATGAAGAAGAAACCTTTCTTTTATACGGGCACTGTAACCGATTATTGTAAAAAATTCGTAGATTCCTTACTAGCTTGCGGACTAAAAGAACTTTTCTCCAGCGAATGGGAAGCAGCCTTAATACAAATTGACAGTTCTGTGGTAGCTGTATGGCGTGATAAGGAACTTTACTATCTTTTTGATCCTTTTAAGCGAGGTCGATCTGGTCAGGTGATCGATCCTGACGACTATAAAACAGATGGAGCGGCATGTTTACAAATGCACGCCAATTTTGACTCGTTACTGTGGTTATTGTGCCAGAATGCCTTGAAAATGCGTAGAGGTGGCAAATTTTTCATTCACGCCGTCAAAGTTGGCTGCATTAAACCAATATTGGATGGTAAATATCGCAAAATGCGTTACACCGGCCTTAAGTTAATGCCCGACGTTATCAACAGAGACGCAGGAGGCGAGGATATTAATGCTGCTGGCGGTGATAAAGCCGGCAAAAAGAAAAAGGACCAGAAAAAGGGTAAGAAGGGAAAAGATAAGAAAGTTCAGAAAGTATGCAGTATAGTAACTGTTCCCGATAATGATCGTCTTCCCGGTTTTGAAAATATCGATATTGTGGACGGTGTTTTGGAGGACTTTCTATGTGAACTCCTGCGAAATCTCCCCGAAGAAGACTATGCAAGACCTCGTTTATATAAGTCCGCCAATCGAGTATTGCTTCGCTCAGACAAAGAATATTTGGAGTCTCTCAAATATATGGTTACGCATGATCAAGATTTCGACAATTATAATGCTGCATTCCCAACACAACGAGATCAAGATACTCCCATCCTTACGCTCGAGGACGAGTTGGCAATACCGAGTAATTTCCAGAACCTTCCAGATGGTACTTGGATTATTTTCGGCAACCAGACCTTGCCTCGTGTCGACGATGAGCAAACTAAATTAAAGGGCCTGCTCTCCGCCTTGGTTACGGCAGCGCTGGTGGCCAAATACAAAATATCAACTTGGACAAGCGAATTGGTAGATTATTCGATGCAAGCTGTAGATTCATTTAGTGAAGAATTTCAAGTTTATCAGTACGCTTTGGGCGCATTCTTATCGAAAAAATTACCCCGCGTGACGATAGGTCAACGCACTTACGACATACGTGTGCATAAGACCATCAAATCCAATATACAAAAATCTCTGCGACAAGTTCTACTAGAGAGTTTGATCAATTATAACCGTATGGTAGTAATATGTCAGCGTTTTTGCTGTCTCATCGTGAAACGGTACAATTTCCTATACATGTTCGTTGGCTTTCCTGTCAATGCGGTCGGGTATAGAAAAAATAATGCCGGGCCCGCCTGTTTATTGCGTTTCGTAGAACTCGATTCTCTCATCAGGCGCATCGAGTATGGGTGCAATCCACAAGGCTGTGACATAACTCATTATGTGGTGGTTACTCTTAAGGTCATCGATTCAACACCGGAGCCATTTGGACGCTACAGAGCTTGGCCTTCAGATCAGCAAGAAAGTCTTTATAAAACCGAATTAGATTATTATAAAAAGGCTGAAATGGGCAAACTTGCAAAGATGCAATTCTTAGACAGTGAGCTGAGCAAAGAAAATGCTCGAATCAAGGAATTCTTAGATGCAAAGGCTGAATATCGAGAAGATCGCAAGGCCAAACGTAAGGCTGTTAGAAAGGACAAGGCGAAACCAGTGCCACCACCCACCGATGAAAGTCAACTTGATGAAGAAACTAGAGAAGAGGGTGGTCAAGACGAAGAAGGCCAAGAAGAAACTGCTGCGGAAGAAGACCCATGCGATATTAAACCTAAGCATAAATTTGGCACTAAGATACCAAAAAGTAAGGATGAATTCGTTCGTCCTAGACCGGTGGTTTACGGTTACCGTTTACGTGAAAAAGATTATTTGTACAAAATACAAGGTAGCAAAGCGCTTAGTAATCGCAGTGAATGTTTGTTAGATAAGATTAAGCCTTGCTTCTTTGCCAGCACCATGGCCATCCTTTATACTATTTTGCGTCCTCTAAATGAATGGACTTCTCAACGTATAGATCAGCTGATTGATAGTGCGACAATCTTAACCGAGACACTTGAAGATATGAGCACCACATATGAGCGTGCTTTGAAAAATGTCAGCGTTGACGAATATACCTTTAACGTTATGATTAGGGTATTCGAACCTATGGGAATGGGAATAAATTTGAGGAAACAATTAGAACGCGCAACCACTCTGCGCAAGTACTTGATGTTACATACAGCGAACTGTACATATGCCATATTTCGTGATGAATACTATCATTTATTTGATCCTTATCCATCCATGGAAACTACAAGCCAAGATACAGAAAAGGGGGAGGAAGGAACCACTGACGCGTCGAAGCAGAAAATGCCAAAGTTGCCAAAAGGTACTAAAAAATATGGTGAGCGTAACACAGCCTCATGGTTATTGTTTGCCGATATTCAATCCATGCTACAATATATGGATAAGAGAAGTTGTAGTCCCACTTGGAAGGAAGATTACGAATACACTTTTCATGTAATGGACATTATATCGTACAAGAAATCGCCACAAAATACTCACGTATTGACATTACTCACTAGTATGGCACCATGTCAAACCAACGATGTAGAAGAAAATGCTAGATGTGCTCATAATGAAAGCATTGCCTGGCTTGAGCATTGCTTGCCAGTATGGAGTCGTCTCAATCGACGTAATGCTGCCGGTCGCTATCGTAGCATGGGAATTTCAAAATTCAAAAAATATGATATTGAAATTGAAGCACGTCTTTGGTCGCTGTGGGGTACTTTGCATCCAAGTGCCCCAGTGTTTGAGCTTAGCAACAGAGGTAAACAGTTTCTGGCGTGTTCTGTGGTTGCTTTGTGTGCAGCTCGCCTTTACCGACTCATTGATTGGAGTCCTCAGCTTTTGGACTCAATCGTCATCAATGGTAATCGCTACCATCAGCAGAGTTTGGGTGAAATTAAATGCGAAGATTATAATTTCTCTATAGAGGATTTGAATTTAGAATGCTGGTTAGACAATCTACGGTTTGTTGTTCATATCGAGCATGTAGTCTATGGCAAATTGTACACTCGTCCCTATTACAATCGTATGAATTTAGCCGAGGGACTAATGTACTTTTTCACATATTTTCAATTTGGCATACTACAGTGCTTGAACAAATGTCTAGCTATCGGTTACATACCCGGCCATGACGGCGGTTATTTTATGTTCGACTGTCAATCCCGGGATCATCCTATTTTCCCCAAAGGTCAGGGTGCCTCGTATGTGCTGCGAACTAAACATTTGCAAGTGTTGTTATACTGCATCGTTGTTACTCTTAATGTCCCTTATTATAATGTGCTCTTCACCATACACAAAGTTGAAATGTTGGCTGAGGGTGCTTCCGTAGATGAGGACAAAACTAAAGAAGGGACAGCAGAACCAACCGAGGAAATTTAACCAATTAACCAATGTTTGGTTGCGATAGTATTAAAAAACGGAGCAGCGGGATCGTGAAACTTTCATTTTATTACTATTGCAATCTCTGTACTAAATATTATAAAGTAATTAATATAATTTTTATTTGTATCTAAACATATATGTCTTCTTAAAATAATATATATACTGTAAGTGTTCCTAGGTTAAATAAGTAATTTTTTTATTTTATTTTTGAGATCTTTGTTGTCATGTCAAAATTAGTCTAAAAAATAAATTTGAAAAAAAAAAGTTAAATATTTTTTGAGAAAAACAGCAGAAAGCAACTATTTTACCATCTCTTCTGCATGCTGAAGACATTGTTGACGGTACATTTAAATATACTCAAAACAAGAACAGATACTGGTTGAAACTTGCGTTTGCGAATATCGAGTCGCCACATATTATTAACACAATTTGCCTCCGTATTGAGATTTTTAAACGATATTGAAATCCTAGACCGTCTGGGGTCATTCTAAGGTACTTTGCATCGAAGCGCTCCCGTCTCTGAGCCAAACAGCCGGGTCAAGCAAATTTTAGCATGTTCTGTAGTGGCTTTGTGTGCAGCCCAGCTGCACCGGTTCACTGATTGGAGTCCTCAGCTCTTGAATTCGGTTGTTATTTTATGTTTGATTGTCAATCCGCGTACGTGTTGCGTACTGTACATGTGGAAATGGTGCTTTACAGCGCAGCGGTCACTCTAAATATTCCTTATTGCAATGCTATGTTAACCATACATAAGGTTAATAGTTTGACTAAAGATGCCGCCATAGAAGAAAGCGAAAATAGAAAATCCAGACGGACTAAAAAAGTAACGTTTTCCTTCTCATTGAAAGCAACAGCTAACAGGCAAATTGAGCAGAGTTGGAATTGAAAAAGTTTGATATTAATGGGGAAAAATTTTTCGTACCTGTGTGTTTTCAGTTATTGAAATGTTTAAACGCGAAAGGTTATATATTTCGTACGATTTTCAGAGTATTTGTTCTTCTCTCCAAATCATTCAACATAATTTAAAAAAAATCTATCGCATACGACATATATGTAACAGGAATCCATTACTTTTTCCAGAAGAAGCGCGAGTCTCAGCTCACAATGTCTCACATGTGTTGCGTTGTTGAAGACAACGTCCGCAACGTAAATATAATTCCGCAACCTTTATGACGACAAATGGTTTTGCGAACCATTACATCTTGGAATGATTACAGATTTCATTTTATTAAACGCATGTAATAATGTACATTAGATGAAAGTTGAAATGTTACACTTCTTATAATATGAAAGCACATTAACGCAAGATATAGACGCAACCATTATTCATATAGAAAACAATTCTGAATCGATTTGAATCGTCTGCTTTCTCGACTTTTAACTTGGCCAAGTCTTTTCCTTTTAATGTGACTAATCAATCAGCGGATATCCACTATTGTGGAACACGGTGGCGGTCAAACGAAGTGAGGAAAGACAAAAATTTTAGGAACGCGACGGCTGCAGTCTAGTGGGTGTCGGCCCATTCGATAAGTACCTTTATCGAGTAAACACTTACTGTAGCTACTTATAATGTTAAATTTTGATACAACAACGCACCGCATTTCGATTGTTTTTAGGGCCACTCCTCACGTAACAACTTATTTTGAAAAAGTCATTGCAAGGTCCTGTAAGCTCTTTGATGGTTGGTTTAACATTTTAGTTTATTACATTTTTCAATTTCGACAACACATGCGTCACAATTAATTAAAGAAAGAATCATTTTAAACATTTTGTTAAGGAGTTTCTAATCTCTAATATTTTCCCGTTACGATCAAGAAATCCTGCGTGATTATCCTTTCAGACATTATAGGTTATCAATGTTTACATATTTGGCCACGTAAATGTCAAATTTCATCGCCTCTTATGATGTAGCTGACAACGAAAAAAAACAAAAAAATGTACGAACCATTTATGTTTGAATGGCAGGGGATTGTATGTTATTTTTATATATTTTCTAATATAAAAGATTGCAATACTAAGTCAATGATTTTGATAACAACAACAATGAAAATAGTGAAATAGTCAACTGAACTTTAAATACGCAAACGAATACGTCGTAACCTACTTTCGCCGGCTTTGTAGCGATACTCCTTAATGTCAGTATCGTAAGCTGGTTCCTCAGATGCTGTTGCCATTTGATTTCGTTGCTCCGTTCTCTCTATAGCATTTAATACGGTATGCTGTTGTTGTTGCTGCTGTTGCTGCTGCTGTTGTTGCTGCTGTTGTTGCTGTTGTTGTTGTTGTTGTTGTTGTTGATGAAACATTTGTCGCGTATGATAATCTGGAAGGAGTTGGCGTTGTTGATTATGTTGCGGAGCGCTATCGAACATGTTCATGTTATTATCTGCAGATTTTATTAAATATTGTTTAGCAGATATTTCACTAGTGGCCACCTGATGTGAATTAGTTTGCGGTGCAGAGGTAGAGATGTCTATCATTTCCTTTGTTTCGTGCGATGACATTTTACTGCTTGTGGTCAAAGTTGTGCTATAACTTTTGCTATCGCTATTGCTGTTACCGTCACCGTTCATGGTTAAAACTGTTGGCATTTCGTTTGTGGTTTTGCCAGATTTAGCAACATCTTCTGCATTTGGTAAATACTGGTTACGCTTAAGAATTCCATTAGATGCTTGCGGTGTCTGTAAGCTATCGGATTCTTCAAATTGCACAGACACTATGAACTGATTTTTAGCTTTCTTATCGTCCGTTATCATATTCTTCGATTTTGGTGTCTGCTCGTTTTCCCCGCTTTGCCCAATGAAAAAAGGATGACCTTCTCTGATGATTTCGATTTGCGTGGGTAATTCAAACAATTCATGCTTTTCTATTATGGTTTCAACACCATCCGACGATGCTTGACGCAGTTGCTGCCCCTTACTATTAACTGGCTGAACGCGATAATGATGATCGTATTGTCGCAGAAAATAAGGTAACATTGCATCAGCCGCGAAGGCAAAATTGAAACTAAAACTAACCACACATATGATAAAAGTGTTCTGTAAGTTTATGGATAATTTTTTTAATAAAAAAAAAAAAAAAAAAAAAAAAAAAATATAGATATAAAAAAATACATTTTAACGATTTTCTTGCACTGAATTATTATTTTTAATATTTAAAACTTACCATTTCGTGTAATATTTCTTTGAAAATATTTTAAAGAAATTTCTTATATATCTTAAGTTAATTGCAAGAATTTTCAATTGTAACTGTTAGAAATAATTAAATCCCAACGGTATTTATACCAGCATCATTTTCTAACAAATCTAATATTGAAATGGCCTTCACGTAAGAAACAATCACAAAATCAAAAGCAAAAACAAAAACAAAATTAAAAAAAATATATAAATATATATATATATATATATATTATATTTTTTTTTTTAATGTTTAAGCATTTGTTAATACATCGCCACGCCACGTTGTATACATCAATACTAAGTATAAAATCTTCTCACACAAATTTTAGGTACTTACGTTTACAAAGACGGAGAGCTCATTTGGTCTTGTAGATGGTATAATGAAATAAACTTTGTTCGGCTTAAGTCGAATCTTCTGGCATCGAGCGCTTTCTGAATATATATAGAACCCGAATAGGATAAAGAGGTTTTATAGCTCTGTTAAAATGATTCCTTAAAGGTATTTGAAATTACAAACTCAAAAGGGATCGCGAGACTTTCGCTCTCATTTTGGTTCAATGTCTTAGATGCAAGTTAGTGTTAAAAGAATGCGTTTTACTTTCTTGCTTTTGGCGTAGAAGGAAAATTAATAGAATAATGATTTTCAACGGTATTAAGCATTTACTTAAGAATTTAGGAGCAAGTTATTGTTCCGTAAAATGGCAACACTGTAACCATTCTAAAGGAAAATTTTTGATTGAACAGATTCTCAACCATATACTATAATTGGATCAAATTTAAATCATAAAAAATGAGAAAAATCGACAGGTTTGCGGATGAGATTCTTACTGCTTTTGATTTTTCTGCGCTTGGCCAACAAATGAATCGTTTATTAATAAAAAAAAAATGTTTAAATTAATTTGCCGAAACGATTCGGGTCTTATTTTGGACTTTCTAAATTTCAGTAGTCAGCTAGCAAACGTGTTTACTACGCGCTAAAAATGACTTCGTGTTCCTAAGACTCGCATTAAATGTTAAGTTAAATGTACACTATGTATATGTCCTGTTTATTTGTGTTGTTCCCATCTTTGATTTACCTCACCGATATCTACGATAAAGATATAACCGTAACGTGCTGTGCCGGCGAAAGTATTTAAGCAATAAACATAACATTTATGATAGCATTGACTTTGTACAAACGTGCTACTACTTCTAAGGTTCAGTTACTCAAATTGTAAAATACGCTCGTACACGTTGCGTGCTTAGCATGTCCCATATCATATGTGACATATCAGACATATATGTGAAGAATGGTATGCCAATGGAATGGAGCATAAATAATACTAAGCTCTCTTAGAGATAATAGCTAATATGCGCATTCTCTGTAATAGCGCTCGGGTGGATAATTGAAATAAATTTCGAAATTTTAATACACGATATCACGTACGCGTAAGTAATAAACGATATTTAAAATTATATTTTTGTGCAATTTGCAAGTATTTCATAGATAATTGCGCAAGCTTTAAATCCAAATTTTATATTTTGCGATATTTTAACTTTTAAATTAACTAAAATATGGACCGATATCGTCTAACATTTTAACAAAGTTAATTCCTATCAAGCTACAATGCTTGCTTTCCATTAGATCTTTTGCTTAACGTGTAGTCCAAAAGTGCGAAAACCGATACAATTCAATTTTATATCAATTTGTTCCATTGGTTCAATTTTCATCAAAAAATATTAAAAATTAAACCTTTTTGCCCTATAGAGCTTATTTCTTATAGGAATCTTTCAAAATGATCTCATCTTATCCAATGTTTTCAACATTCATTTATGAGTTGAAAGATACCATCTTTTCATTATATATCATAAGAAATATTAAAGATCGGAAATTTGTTTTTTTTTCTATAACCAACTAAGCAAAATTTTATATGACGAGTGGATAAAGTGGTTAAAGCGAAGTTAATTACCACGTTGCGAAATTGATTCAGAAAATGATTCTGAATCTATGGTAGTACGTTTATCTTCAGTCTGATGTATAAGTTTATAGTCAAGTACATGTCAGAGTAGACGTGTAGCCCCCCTCCCCCCCCACATTTCCTATAATATTTGATAAGAAAAGGCAACTTTGTAATGCAATCGCATTTCGTCGTTTATCAAGACAGTTTGATTGCGCCTTGCCGTGCGATTTGTCTGTATGTAAGTAAAGTAATATAAACATATTTTAAGATCCTGTAAGAGATCAAGCTTCTCAGAATCCATTAAATTTTGTCCTTGCTATTTGGCTCAATAATTCTTAAACTATTCATTATAAGGCAATTGTGAAGAGTCCCACAAAATTATCCTCGTTGCATTGATTAAACTATACAAACTATGTGTTGTAATCGAGAATCATTCGATTTTGCTAGAATTTCAGCGAACTTCAGAATATCATCGCCCAGATATTTTAGGTACGCTCGCTAATCAGTCACTATTCTAGTGTTGCGAATTATTTTGTTTGTAATCGTACTTGAGGAACGGGTAAAAGAAGCCATGATTTCTTTATTGATTTTTTTTTTTAAATTATGAGAAAATAATTGAACGTTCATCAGGTGCCAAGAATGATGTGTTGAATGATTTTAACATAAAACTCTTAGCTTGTCTAATTTCCTGCATGATATCATAAACCTTTCGATATTCTTGGGTGTTAATTAGAACTCTCGCGGCCCATATATTTTCTGTTGGCCACTTATCACGGATTCGATTATAATAAAATATATAATAAAATATATATAATAAAATTCCCCCTTTCATAGAATTTGATTGGACCTCATAAGTAATTGGGTAGATTAACAAAAAAGAAAGAAGAATTATAGCTACGTGGATTGAATATCGCTTATTATCAAGGACTTCCTCTAAGTATATGATATTTCGAAACATATTTGATGTGATTTTCACACAATAAAAACATTGAGATCTACTCCGGTTTGTAAAAAAAATGTTTGTAGATGACAATGATTTATGCGGATTAAAAAATATTTTGCAACGCCTCCGGTTCACATTTTAACTGATTACAAAGGTTTTAAGCATCGAATACACTCTCTGTTGCAGGCGCAGCAAAAAAAAAGTTTATATTCTGCTTGGACTGAAGGTTCTAATGCTCACCATCATCACACCGCGCACAATATCTCTCATCTACAAAATGAACATCCTTTCGCTGAATATATGAAATATTTCGTACCTCCCATCAATGAATATTTCAATATACATTTGTCCAATTTGGCAGCACTTTGTAGGTATTTGCACAAATTGAAGGACATTTTTTTATACTAGGGGCAAATTTTTACGTCGATTTTACTCATTCTAGAATTTGACCTTGGGAATTTTAATAATAAAAGGAAGTTAAAACCAATTTATTTACCCTACACGGAGTTTTACAAAGAAAATGCACAAAGTTTGTTTTTTTTTGCTTTGTGTATATAATCGTGGATTAGATTTCGCCGTGTGCTTAAATTAAATCGAAAATAGATTTAGATATATATTGATTCCGTTATTCACACTAATGAAAATTATAAAGCCTTCATTATGCCTTATATCCCTATCTTGTGGTGAATATAACTCAAACTTTTACTTTTTAAAATTCATTAACGACACAATGAGAAAACAATATTAGGCATACTAATATTGTAATCCTATCAATAATCTTATTAGATCAGCCGGTGAAAATATTCCGTCTTTGATATACACCGTAGATGAGATTGAGATGTGGTAATCAATTCACAGAGTTACGACGATGCTGATAATTTCAGCGCATACTGCTAAATTATTTTTTAAAAATTTTTATTCATCATTTCAAGCCTTAAATATTGTCTCAATAAAATTTTCAGTGTCATATTTGATAATAAGCAGCTTAGTTTGGACTAAGCGCGCTCACCAATAATTGCTAAAAAAACGTCATATCTACAAAGGACTTATGGTATACAAATATCTATAAACACTTGGCAAATTCTATCAAAAATACGTACGATTTCTTTTTTGTGATACAATACGATATGCAATCGATATATCGAAAGTCTCACTTTGCCTCATAATCAAGCAGTGTAGTAGTGTTTAATGACACATTCTCCCCATGATAGAAATTCAATCTCGACGACAGCAAATGTGTTGAAAGAATTAAATCATCCAAGGAAACAATCTTCTTTAGATCGCTTATTTTGGGTTTCTGTCTTTACGAACGTAATGATTAATTCAATATGATTTATTCCCTGTAATGATGGATATAATCTGATGCGGCTATACATACACAGAATACTAAATTACCGGTTGAAATAAAAAAAAAAAAAGAAACGATTCATTCAGTCAAACGTCTATTATAATGAAGGGATCGAGAGGAATAGAGAGAAAGAGAAAGAAAGAAAGAGAGAGAGAGAGAGAGAGAGAGAGAGAGAGCGAGAGAGAGAGAGAGAGACTTAATGACGACGTACATAAACTTTCCTCTATGGATAATTGCAGCTGCAATTACACACATAGGCGGTTGCTGCTGATGCTTCTGAATGCCAAACAGTAAGATGCTGGGCCTTCATGATTGTTACAAAATACTCATACATAAGTGCTTCAATGCATTTATTAAAGCTTTCAATAAAATTCCTTACAACGTTACTATATTTGAACATATTCGTTGATATTGCTGCACGTACATTATACCCTGGCGTAAAGATCGGTCCGTTGTGACATTTGATATATGTATGTTTAACTAATTATGCTCTTTATTTATTATATTGTTTTCTTTATGCTTGCTTATTTTTCTAAAATATTTTTCAATTATTTTTATTTATTTATTTTTTTTAATTAATTGTAAAATCTACAATGTACGGATATTCACGTTAAACACTTTATTATTAATTTTGTATGTTCTATTAAAGAGCTTCCTTATATGCCCATCCATTTTATCAATAAAATCAAAATATCTATAAATGATCTACTGAATGCATGCAATGCGACATGTGGATATAAGTGTTTGTGAAGCATTATTGGATATAATTATATTATT